TTTGTTTCTACTGCATTCATCGCTTCACCTGTGCTGAGAAACTGACAGTTTTTTTTTGGTCTACTGACGACAACACAGATTGCTCTAATGGCGTTAAGGAGGTGTGAGAGCACTGGTTCTTTATTTATGGCTGAATTTGCGTATCAACTACAATGTGCAGTGGTTTGGATCTGTCAATTTGGAAATCAAGATGCACGACGAGCCCTTGCACATTCGCAAGCTCTACTTGGATATTAAGGCTTAACCTTACAATAGGCATAGCGAAGAATGTTGCGCAGCATGATCAAGAGGAGTCTACTTTTTTTGGGGAAATATTAAGCAAAATGTTTCACGGCCACAATTCAATTTGCGGGAATAGGAAGTTTCTAGCACGCAATGCCGATACCTGTTGCGTATTGGCCACATTGACTAAAGTATGGTACACGGAGTGACTTTTCTACATGTTATCGCCAGTTCCATAACAAATAACTGAGGCTATCAATGGCATGCTAAACTTTCAACAACAAAGTCATACACACAGGCGCAGACACTTTGGTTAGCAGTGGCATTATGAAAAAGCTCTAGTTGTGCTTGTTGCGGCCAAAAATAGTTTTGGGCCATAAAAAGTCCGACGCCGTATACAAAGGTGGACTAGCGAACTTTGGCACAGTTGGCGCAAGCTGTACTCGAGTGTGCGCAGCAAGGCGCAGAGATATGGAATTGTAGCAAAACGGCGCAATTGGCGCAGTTGGATCACCACTGCAGTGATTTTTTTTTTTTTTTGTTCTAGCCATGTTTTTTCAGGGTTCGATGAAAAAACATGGAGAAGAAAAATGAAACCAATTAGTAACCTCAAGTTTTGATCCTACACCAGCATCACTTCTAACGTTGCGTTTATCCAACCATATGACGGCAACTTTCCGGCGTCATTTCCACCCACAAAGTTTTGGCGAGCACCACTATGGGGTGATGCAGTCGGCAGCGATGTAGTGACTTTATTGCATTGCATGAATTGGGTACTAAATCAGTTGATATCGGCACTTATGCCCCGCCGCGGTGGTCTAGTGGCTAAGGTACTCGGCTGCTGACCCGCAGGGCGCGGGTTCGAATCCCGGCTGCGGCGGCTGCATTTCCGATGGAGGCGGAAATGTTGTAGGCCCGTGTGCTCAGATTTGGGTGCACGTTAAAGAACCCCAGGTGGTCTAAATTTCCGGAGCCCTCCACTACGGCGTCTCTCATAATCATATAGTGGTTTTGGGACGTTAAACCCCACATATCAATCAATCAATCAATATCGGCACTTATACTTATTCTAAAACTATGTCCAGCTATTGGTCTAGGCAAAGCACAATTAAAGAATCGGTGCTTCAATAGTGCTGGAAGGCCCCTTTAAAAGGGCCCTGCAAAACTTCTTTAGCGTGGTTGGAAATTGCTGCCGATCAGCAGTAGGAGCTCCCCAGAACACGCAAGCCAAATATTATAGCACAGCATGCCGTTTGTAATTCAGAATAAATTCTGAAAGTCAGCTAAAAATTGCTTTCTGCTTTTCTCAACAAGTGATAGAAGAAGCTCATAAATTAACTCATCATAGCCGTTCGATCAGCCATTAGGCGAGTGCAGCATGGGAGTGCTCGGTCGCTATAGGGATCGCCGTAAAAAGCTGAGACTTGTCCATGCATGCATGGGCAATCGCACTCGGAAGCTGCGTATTCAAAGAAAAAAAAAGAGAAAAAGAAAGCACACAAGGACAAAAGGGGGGCGTAATGTATTTGCTTTCCCCACGCCATCTCTCCTTCCATAGCTTCCAGCACTGTGATAAGGACTAGAGATGCAGCCTGCAACAAATCTGCAACAAACTCCGCTAGTATTGGACACATTCGAAAAATTTTTGCGGTGGTGAATTTGTGAGGCAATAAGCTCCTTCAGTGGATACATTCTATGGTTAAGTAAAAAAGTGTTGTGACTCGCTTTTGGTGAAGTGCAACAGATGCTTGGAGGAGAGCCTAACGACGATCAGGAAGGCGAAAATTTTTCGCTTTTTCGATGACTACCTTGTTTTATTCCATGCGAATCCCGACGAAGGCAGTATGACGACAGACAAGATTTACAGCAGCTTCTGAAAAATCTTCCCTGGACTATCCTTCACCAGGGAACTACATAAAGGCCAAAAACTCGCTTCTTAGAACTCCTCATCCACAGACAGACACACCTGCTGGTTGTATACCCTGTGATTAAAAAAGGACCTTCCACCATTTTTATCTCATCACTCGAAGCTGGTTAATCGCGCCATCACATTGACCACCATGAGTCCATGTCCCCATCAAGTCACTTCGAGCTTCACCCTTCAAGTTGACAGGTTGACAAGGGCTCGTTTCTCTGAACAGTTCCTGGCAGGAGTTATTCTGCACGAATTTAGGTCTCCAAGAAGAGAAACACCGCTGCAAGCTGACCAGACCAAAGTTTCCGTAATTCCCTACTGCACAGAGTCTCCTACCAGGTGAAAAGCAGCAGCGCGAGTGGGCGTGGTTTACTCTGCTCCTTTAAACTGAACTTTCTCTGCAAGTTCTGGAAAATCTGCGTGCCAGAAATAAAATGCAAGTCCTTTTGTTCCCTGCAAAACAGGTGTGGTGTACGAGATCCCAATGCCACGTGGAGGCTTGTATATCGGTTGTGTTATGACAAGAACATGCCAGCGATCTTAGAACGAAGACAGACAAGGTGCAGTGCAACCCCCTTTTCCAGCAGGTGCACATTATTCACTCCAGAAATCTATGAAGCCAACCAAATTCAGCATGTGTCCGTGCACCCTTGATAACAAAGAGATCAGCTATGTAGATGCGACGTATAGGCACATGCACTTTTTCAATCCGCAAAAATAATAAACTCATTTGTTCATAGCTCTTCCCTGCGCATTTCTTTCCATCGCCTCCTTATTCACTTAGACTGTGCTTTCTTGTTTGTTATATACTTCATTGTATAAAAATATGCCATTGCACATGATTTTATCTCGTATCACATAGGTAATGTTCATTCTAGGGCCCTTAGAGGGACACTAAGAAAAAAACAAGGTTTTTCACTTATCAGTATATTGTTCTTTCACGATAGTAAAAGCATCATGCTCACTACGAGAAAATGATGGGTAAGTGACACAACGCACAAACAAGAAATGCAAGTGGCAATGCCACCTTCCTGCACCAGTCGCTGTCATGGTGTATATCAGGGTGGGCCACAGGTGGGCCGCACAAGACTCTCTTTGTCCTATAATTTTTTCTTATCAATTTGAGATTGTTCGTGACACTGCTAAAAGGTGCTCGAATTTCTTCTCAACTATCGTCATTATAGGCACAGATATCTGGGAAAATTTGTACTGACCCATGTTGGTACTTAAGTGTGCAAAACAGACAATATACAAGAGAAGATGTAGGTCACTCATCCAGTCTAGGCCTTCTCTTGCATCTGGTCCGTTTTGTTCTAGATATCATCGAGATTAATACTGCTTTGTTCAGGCGAGGCACACAGACACTAATGGCCTTAAGCATTTTTGTTTCGCAAGACCCCACGGGTTCGCCTTGTACTGAAACATATCCGCAAAACAACTATTACTTCTGAATTTGTGTCCAAACCCGTCATTGTGGAGATTGGTATGAATATTTTTCTGGTGCCCCGATGCCAAATCCGCTTCAGAAATGACCCATATATGAGATATAGAAAGTCCTTCCTTGAAATTGAACTGACAGCATGAGCCAGTAATTTGCTAAAACTAGGACAACCCTACAAGCTAAACTGGTGTGTGCAAATAAAAAAAAGACAAACACTGAAAGAAAAGAAGGCGCTGCGTCAACAATCATGCAAGGGGACATGCGCTGTTAATTAGCAATAACGAAAACATGCCTTTGCCTGTGCATTGTCAAGCCTGCAAGTATTCATTGATTATCGAAAACATTACCCAAGACATATTATTGGGCAGAAACACTGATACCACAGTCGTGAACTGATGGAGGCTTTCTATATATGTAAGAGGCAATGCTTGTGTTAGCGACCTGTATATTTCATTATTTCATAGCGAGAACACATTTTTGCATGCCTTCCGGTAATATTTTTGTTTGTGACCTTGTAACCACTTCTGCTTGCATATGTGTGCGAGTACACATAGAGGAGTGATAACAGTTAGTTAAAGTTTCCACCTGTCTGCGTTCTTTTTGTGTCTCTGTTTTTCTTTTGACACACCAGTTTGTCCTGAAGCATGAACCAAACTGCCCAGCTACAAGTTGTATTGAGCAAGACACTGCCTTCAGACAAATCTTCTGCCAAAGGATGTATGCTAGGACTCATTCTGCGTGTCTCGCTCTTGTGAATATATGCTTTTGGATCCAAAAGCTCTGTCCCATCTTGCAGAACTTCAGGTTTTGTTAAACAACACTCATGATCAATAGATTTTGTGGAGCTTAGCAAACAAAAAATGCCATTCTTGTGCAAGTTTCAATGTAACTCCTGCGCTTCATGTCGCTGTGAAACCTGTGAAAATGCGTAGCATGAGCCACTCCCTTGGCAATTGTGCACTTGTCGAGATGATGCGTTGCGGGTATCACTAGATGTTTTGGAAGAGTTTCTCGCAGTTTTAGGTAAATTATTGCGATTAATTTGCAGTTTCTTCTGTAGTTTGTTTAAATCTTGTTAGATTATTCTGCACCACCTTTGAGCATTGGTAGCCTTGTTTTAGGCTTCTATTGACCACTACGTGACCACATGACACGAGAAGTAGGATAAATGACAAGACAGGCCTCCAAGGTGCTATGCACTTAAAGGCTCTTAAACTGGTATAGCACATTACGGAAAAGAAGAAGTTGTCCAACAGACCGACACAAAGGACAGAGCATTATGTCCCAGTGCTCAGTCCTCTTGTGCCAGTCAGTTCAGCTGTTTCTTCTGCGCTATACCAGTTCAAGTAAAACAAACCAACTCGCTCAATCTTTAACTCTTGAGCACTGAAATGTTCAACTTATAAGCTGGCCCACACGCACCGATCCCGGCGTCTGGCGACTCCTTGACAGGAACATGGATGGCGAACAGGACGGCTGAGTGAGTTGCTCCGGCTCAACATCGAAGGGATTGGCAATGCTGCTGCTGCGACAAGCGCTGGGAGTCGCCCCAGCCAGCGCACTACTCCCACTCAGGGGTGAGCCAGGGAGGTTGTTCAAAGAGGCGGCAGTGTCCTCGGCACTGGTGCTACTGCTAGCGCTTCCACTGTCACAAAGAGAGGTAGCCAGTTTGTTTTCAAAGTAGCATGTAGCACTATGAAGGCTGTGCAGTCAGTTAAGAGTACAAACAAAAATTCGTGGCCTAGACAGCTATTGCAAAACATCTACAGCAAATATAGTTTAGATGGTATCTTAAATGAACTTTGAAGTCTGCATGCACGATGGAACGCTACTGTGGTATTGACTACCTCAAAAGTGATGCCACAGTGATTCTTCCTACTTACCTTGCATCACCACCCTGCAACAAGTTACGATGGCGTCATAGAAACCACTTTGATTTTTTGCTGCATTTCTTGTTCTTAAGACTTCTGGATGCAAACTACGCGGAAGTGAATCACAGTTTTGTGCTGACGTAGTGCACATGCTAGGTAGTGATAGTTACACCCAGCGGCTAGTATTTGAAGCTCTCTCAAACCGAAACAGAGATTGGCAAGTAATGAGGAGCTTGTAATGAATTGTCACAAACTGCAGCTAATGGTGTGCCATCTTTTGACTAACAGGCCCCCAGCAACACATTGCAGTAAAAACGGTCAAAATTTTCACTATTGCGCCCCTTACTCATCACTGCTTAAGTACCGCGAGCTCCTTTTGCTACTTCTGCACAATGCTGGCAAGGAAGAGACCACAAGCACTGAGCAAATCGTAAATAATACATTTTTAGTTACCTAAAAGAACACTGGCAGAAAAATTGTGTATCTTGTTTTTTCTCTTGCTGTAGGTAGCTTAACACGGCTGAAAACCTCGCTTGCTCGAACACGCCAAGGTTCATTATTTGGAGACTGTTTTATACCACTCAGTCACAGCTTCAGTTTCAGAGAGCACGGAGTGAGGAAGTACCAAAGAGGGTTTTGTGAAAGCATAGCTAGCAGCGAGAGGACACAAAACCACATGTGCATGAGCACCACATTGTAAATATGAGTGACCCCCTTAAAAATGCCCTACAAGGACTAGGAGATCAACCTTTTTACTTCTGTGCAAGTCTGCTCTCTCTTTTCTTTGAAGAAGCCTGCTAGGAAAGAGTGCTTGCACAAATTGTGGCAGCCAACTTGAACTCGCGATACAGGTGGCGGTTGGTTGTTTACGCAAAACCAAAGATGCATTTTGCATTCAGTGGCACGACAGTCGCTTCAAAATTTACTTTCAAAATGTTCTATGGTAGAATGCAACTTTAGAAGTAAACAGTTTTTCCTCCTACAAGGCATATGAACTAGAGTCAGCACCAATGGACGCACACTGCAGACTGACCTCTAAAGCTGGAGGTCTAGTTTTCGGAGAACATTGCCAACTGAATAAGAAGAATTGTTTCTTAAATGATCGAAGTGATTGGCTATATTATTCATTGATATTTTGCAGATGATGCGTGTGTGTCCACACAAATCTTTCCCAAAAGCTATCTCGCCTTTGCAATTTTGGGTTCGTACTGCTCCAAGTCTGTTTATATCGTTTTTGGTTAAAATCATTTTTTATGTTCGATTGCTTCAGTGAAGGCAGTACCCTGTCTGACGAGATAATAGAAGGCTTCTACTGAAATTTGTACCTTCTAGTAATTCTCACATTGAGAAGATAATTATCAAATCTCCCTTGAGTAGGCTGATGAATTCATTTCGTAAAGAAATACAGAATGACTGGTCGTACAATATTTACACGATTATGTTATTATTAATAATTGCTGTAAAACACACTGCCAGTCGTTCAAACACTTCCACTTGCTTTAAATTTTGCCTCCAGAACCTAAGGATCAAGTCATGCAAGTTTCGTGCTTTCGTAGACAATCATGATATAAGCCACAGAGAATAAAGCAAACTGTTTAGCTCTGCCTGCACGCTCTCGAACCAGTACTGCCCAGTATTGAAGATACATGCATCTCAGATACTCTGGGTATCTTGTATCTGTATCAGGATATGCCTCGCAAGACGAGTATCTGTATCTGTATGTTGATACATTCCATAATGTATTGTGCATCTTAAAATTATTTCATTTTAAGTACATTACTTCATTTTATGTACTTGCTACATTAATACCACGCTGCCCATTTCAGCAGTAAGAAAAATAGAGGCAAGGGGTAGCTGCTTAAATTTCTTTTTCTGGCATGGTATGTGTTCCCATAATGCGGTATGTGTGCGGTGGATGTTGATCAAGCAAACCAGTGTGGCAGCATAGCGCATATGATGTCGCGCTGTTATGCTCGAGGGCGCAGTATAGATTCCTACCCATGGCAGCCGCATTTTGATGGAGGCAAAATACAGAGAACACCCGTGATTTATACGCACATTAAATAAGGCCAAGAGGTCAAAACTAGTCTTGACACCCACACCACGGCATGCCTCGTGATATTGTTTTGTCTGGCATGCAACCCCTTAGCAGTTATTGATGTTCATAAAACACTTTTATTCTAAAAAGATACGGGCAAGCACAAAAACTAATATACTAGGTTGGACAAATTAAACGACTAGTAAAAAACAAGTGACAATTCTCTGGCGAGGCATAAACTCCAATGTCGCTTCCACACAGCGGCCAATGCAGGTAGAGTCTTTACCGTATTGGCCGACACCAGAAAGCTAAGCTTCGGGAAAGTCCACTGCTTTATTCGCAACAAGTGCCATGTCTAGCACAAATTAAGTTAAACGGAGGCATCCAAGCATCAAGTATCCATTAGGTGCGCATTTTTTACAACAGCTTGAACTGCGGTTTCGGCGAAAGTGCCTCTCGCAAACATTTCGTAGAAAAGGCAGCAGGCAGCTTTCTTTCTACGAAACTGTTTGCAAATAGTGTGGACTGTCTGCCCATCGTAGCACTTAACATTACACGGTGGCATCAAAAGAAGGTTGGTGGTGGTGGTAAAAAAAATTGCTATATATGCCACATGCTGCACAACATGCTCGTTTTACTTGCAACAAACCTAGATGCTAGATCTATGCTACAATGCTAGATCTACCTAACAGACAATATCACGATATGTTGACATGCCATGCTGTTTAATTCCTGCTATCTGAATTCAAAGAACTCTTCGAATCATCATAAGACAGCTAGCACAAGTGCTTTCTTAGTAGCCTTTCTTTTAAATCCCATGTCTCTAAACAATTTTCGCGCGCGCGCGTGCGTGTGTGTGTGTGCGTGCACGCGTGTGTGTGTGTGCGTGCACGCGTGTAAGCTCCTAACGAGCCATTTCAGGCAATTTTTCATAGGCACTGAATTGTTTCATTGTCTTACCTTAAATGGTAAGTTGACGATACTGCATACTTAATTTATTGATGTGATATGTGGGGTTTAATGTCCCAAAACCACGATATGAGTTGGAGGGCTCTGGAAATTTCGACCAACTAGGGTTCTTCAACGTGCACCCAAATCTGAGCATACGGGCCTACAGCCTTTTTGCCTCCATCCAAGATGCAGCCACCGCAGCCGGGATTCGATCCCGCGACCTGCGGTTGAGTACTTTAGCCACTAGACCACTGCGGCGGGGCACTTCATACTTAATTGTTATAGCTCTTTGGTGTGCTGCCTGTTCATGTTTGCATACTTGTTCAGTATGAATGTTTGACACTAAATGGCTTTTCTATTCTAATTATAAGTGTTTTCCTTTTTCAGGCCTATTTTCTTGCTATTACTAATTACCGTGTAATCAGAACAGACACATTCCACCGGACATGTGTCGCAAAAGTGCAGTAGCGCTGTTGTCGGGCATTTGGTTTCGCTTGGTAGACAAATGCCGCTGTGCCTACCGCAGTTGCTGCTGTGTTTTCGCTGGTGTGTGCGCTGTTTGTGGCCGTGCAAAGAGGAGAAAATGATGTACTGACGAGCTTTCACGGTGATTTGCACGGGAAGGTAGAACAAAAATGAGCCAGGTCTTCTTATCTTTTAGTTTTATGTTGACGAAAACCGTTGCAGATCAGCCACAGCTGTGAAACGCAGAACTTGCCTTCGTTACCGCTTCATTAGTCATGTTTTGGAGTGGCTTACCCAGAAAAAACAAGTACCTCTTTCAGGCGATGGAATAAGCCATAAAATTTTTTTTTTAATAAGCCTCGGAGGAGTATCAAGCACGTTTACCTCAAAGCATGTTAACAATCTGGATAGCATTGCCATATGCGAAACATTTTTCATGGTTACCATTGTTGATATAACTGCAAAAGTCTTCGACACATCAAAACAATATTGTCATACTCGCGTGAACTAAAGGTGTCACTCTGTCACCGAGCCAACGATCGAGCATGTGTTTCTTTCTGCGTGGGTTCATTAAAGTAGCAGCGAACGAAAGAATGACTTAGACTCAGCTTTTTCTGATTATATGCAGCTGTGATGACGCACCTGAGACAAGAGTATAGGGCAGGGCTTTCTGGCTGTGGTGCCCTTTACAAGAGTTTCACGTCTGTGTGAATTACCAAAAAGACATCACTCTGAAAACTTGCCGAGTCTGTCTATGGTTCGTACGAGATTCGCAGTGTCTGCTTGAGCATACGAATCGAGCCGCGCACCTTACAGGTATGTAACCGTATTGTCCACAGCATGCAGTTGACGCATTATAGCAAGCGTATTGTGGATGAGTGTCACCAAGGTTGCCCTTGTTGTTTGCAATATAATGTAAATGCGTAAATGCAAGGTCAAAAGCGGTATCAGCGTCTGTACAAAAGCAGCAAGAGCTGGCCAGGTGTACGGGCAGCGTCGCAGCAACAACCAGGCAGTCTTAGCTCGTGTCTCGCGCCAACGTGTCGATGTCGCTTTAGTAGTGGGCATTCCTCTTCACTACAGCAAGGATAACTTCTCCGGCACGTTTGTTATATGCGAGGATTTACCCCAACGATTTTTGGCGACGTATTTTAACACCGCACATTTGCATATTGTACCCTAGAGCCTCTTGCAGAATTGGGTCTGTTCTTGCATTAGTACAAATCAAAATGCGCACGTGTAATGTAGGCTGCAGCAACAACGACGATGTTTTGCAAATGAGCTACATTTCCGCCATTAAGATACCTCATATGCTTTGAT